TTCTCAGGGTGACCTTATAATTATGAAACGGTGCAAAAGCCGACACTATCTTTAAAAAATTCGTAAAAAATTTGAGGCGAAGGATATTGCGACCAAGATTTGAGTACGGAGGTACATTGTGACGAGGAATCTTCCAGTGTTTGCCAAAAAATTCCATTCCGGCTGCTTCCTTCAGAATCGCAAAAATGTGGGGTGACCTTATAATTATGAAACGCACTGTATTATGTAAACCTGTAGCGTCTACTGTTGAACGTGATTAAGTGACTAATCAAGTAGCTCTACCACATTTTCACATTTTATACTTTCACTTACAACATAAATCGAATGAAGCGATCAAAGAAATGTTTTCGTTAAAGATGGTTTCTTAGATTTCTTCCTTGTGTGAGCCGTAGTGGTTGACCGTCGGGGATGGTTAAAGAAACGTTATGGCGTCGAAAAACGGCTAGGAGAGGGCGTAGTAAAAGCCTCACGACCCGCTTTGCCGACGTACACACCCAAGGCGACCCAGTTCCTAAGCGTTGCAAAAGCTGTAGTGGTTGCACAGTTCACACCGGAACCCACAGTTGCACGGAACAGCTCGATGCAACCAGCTGTATGCAGCGACGCGCGCTTTTGAATGGCCTTGTCCAAATTCCCCTTCCATGCAACTTCTGCCGCCACATTCTCGGATTGTGGACTATCTCTTCCATTATTGCATCAACCTATTATTACCAACATACCTCACAATCGCTATCGTTGGAAGTCAGTTGGCAACCATCCAAATGAGCTCTGTACAAGGTTAAAAGCACAGACTGCTTGCATATAGGGCAATCCTGAAAACATGAAGGTTTCAATTCCTGACATGACTTCAAGTATTCAGACCCCTACAGGTATTTTAAACGACAGCTCCTGGGGGACAGAACATTCACCCAGAACTGGATGGATGCGGCAAACCGCCCGGCGAAGGTCGTTTTGATTAAAACGACTCTGGCGCCTATCATTGGGGCACAAATTCGAAGTGGGATAGATAAGTAGCATCAGCTGGCCCTACTTATCCAATCTAATTGAAAACCCGTGCCCCAATGATAGGCGCCAAAACCGTTTTAACCATCTCGAATTTCGCCGCGCGGTTTGCCGCGTCCATCCTGTTCTGGGTGAATGTACCCATACCCCAGCTCCTAAACAATGCTTACATACAAAAAAAAAGCACAAAAACGACTGCATCCTACTCCTGTGAAATTCTTGAAGCATCATTACTACAAATGAAAAGTCGCAGGTTAGTCTGTCTGTCTGAAAGAAACCCCCTAGTCTCCTTTCGGAACAACCTAGATGTTGTGAAAGAATGGATAAAAGTGTAGGGAAGGCTACTGACTGAAAGAAGGGAATCTTTCGCACAGTGGGTGGGAGGAGCGGGAGGTCATCAAGATGAGAGGAGTGTGAACCGTGTTGGCGTGAACTGAGATCAGAATCTCATAACTCTGCTAAAAGGTTTCAGAATCCTGGTTGTGATAAGCCAACCTAAGGAAGGGAATCAAATTTCGATTAGATAGTGGGGAGTGCGTCAGGTGGCTGACCAAAAACAAAAATTCATAGTTCTATTGGCAAACGTTCTAGAGTCTGGAAAGTAGCGAATGGAGGCTCCTAAAGAAATGGACAAATCCTAATGTAGGTGTTGCGAGAGCCGAAGCTGAAAGAGCTAAAATCAAAATTTTCTGTTATGTAAGAAACATTTTCAAGAGCCTCCAAGCGCTACTTTCCAGACTCTAGAACGTTTGCAATAGAACTATGATTTTTTGCTTTTGGCTTCACCCACCTGACGCCTCCCCACTCACCAATCGAGAGATGATTACCTTCCTTGAATTAGCTTATCATTTCCAGGATTCTGAAACCCTTTAATGAAGAGTTATGAGATCTTGATCTCAGTTCTCCCCATCACGGCTCACGCTGTTCCCACCTTGAATACTTCACCGCCCTTTTCATGATATCTTATGACCTGAAAAAAAGTGGATGTGGACGAGCAAGCAGAGGTCAAATGCTTTCAGCGGACACGGTATCTGCCGAGGAATATGGTACCAATTGTAGGACCAAATATTATAATAACTGTTTTGCAACGTAATAGAGACCGCAAAAAAAGGATGGAACTAGACGAGGAAGAAATGTCGGCTGTTGTTAGCGAAGACATTTGTGAGCAAATCTAAAGACAGAAGTTCCCAAATGATTGAAAATCAAGAAGATGTTAGGTGTAAATAAAAGGAAGAGGATAAGGACTGAAGGTAGAGTCTTTGCGATGATCAACCCCGTATTAGGAATGCACCAAGTATTCGACATCCGTTCAGAATCGTTGTAACCAATTGAATGCCAGGGTAGCACGTACAATCGCGATGATGACCAGATGATGTACAAGTCAGTGCCCTCAGCCTTAGACGAGCCTGATACCAATATATCGTCTCGAGAGGATGAAAGATTCGGTTAGCCCAGTCGTGCATTGATCCGGGATAAGAACTCTTGATCGTGGGTGTTAGTGCAGCTCTTGCCACTGCGCCACATCCGCCCAAGCGTGAATAGAGGAAGAGGAATCTTGTTCGTTCGTATGTCTGTTTGTTGTCAGGTTGTCTTTTTGTTAGTCTGTCGGTCTGTTTGTCTGTCTGCCTGCCTGTTATGTTCCCTGTCTCTCTCTCTCTCTGTCACGAAATCCGGTATTATGCCAAAAAGCAGCGGGAGATATCGGATCATATAAGGTGTGGGTGAGGTACAGAACAATATAAGAAGCACAGTAGATCCAACCCGCGGAGGGAAGGACAAGCACCGAAGTAGAAAAGATTGTGGACCCCAAAAAGATCCCAAAAAAACAGGAGAGAATGAGCGGAATCTACATATCTCTGAATGGTGAGCGGGGCCGAGACCAAAAATCCGTAATTATGTCAAGTTTAAAATACGGAGAAAGCGGTCAACGATATCGAAGGAAGCGAGGTCGAATCTTTGTTGTAGGCAGAACGCACGCAGCGTTGGGAGGTGCTATGACCAAAAATTCACAGCTCTCTTCAAAAACGTTACAGAATCCGGAAGTGGGGCTAGTGGAGAAAGATAGATACGATTCTGTTAGAGGTGTAGCGTGCGCGAGGAGGGTAGCTGAGGGTTAAAAACTAAAACTTCTTCTAAAAACGTTCCAGATCCCTAGAAAAAAAGAGGATATGAGGCCCAAACGAGAAAATTTACTGACCATAACAGACGGAGGGTGAAGCACCAAGTTAGGAAAAGGACTGAAAATCCACAGTAATTTCTCGAAACGCCGTAACATGAGGCTAAAAGCAGTAGGAAGTCGGAGGTTGACTGTCCACTAGGGACGATACGTGCAACAATGTAAGTGAAGTTGAAAAATCAAAAATAGACAGCGAGGTCAGAGAAAAATTTGATGAGATGGTTTTCGATTGAGAGTGAGAAAATGAAGATCCATTTACGGTAGAAAAGCTGTGTAGTCAAGCATAATTTCTGGGCACAAGGACACAGGTATGCCAAGTAGTATAGAATAGTGAGTATGGCCCGCAATAAATGGCGACGAGATAAATAAGATGGTCAGGGATGCAAAATTACAACTCAAGCCAAAAAAGAAAATGCATCATATTGCTGGACACAGGTTAATGTCACCAAAAACGAGACGATTCACTTTTAAAGGTTCCATACTTTTCGCAGTTTCTCTTGAACAGGTCCATTTTCGACTTTAACTACCAACATCCTGCTTTGTGAAATTCTGAGTATGTAGCTAAGGTAATGGCCGAATCGGCCAGTGTTTGAGCAGGATCGCTTACTTGGTCAAAATCGTGGAAACTCTGAGGATGGCGAACCCACCGGAATGTTATCCGACTAAGCTTATAATACACTCGTGAGCCAAATGATGTATTATTAACAAGACGTGATCAATCAGAATGAACCTTTTTTCTTGTCTGCCGTTCAAACGCTGCCATGATCGTACAGCTCTGCTTCACAGGCGTCCGAGCACTCGTCACCTTTGCCCCGTGACCACGAGACATGGCGCAAGCTTCCCGGAAAGTGCTTTCACCACTGAATCGTATGAAATGAACTCAAAATTATTACTTTGTTGCACATTAGTTGCAGTATTGGCCACATGGTCCTTTGCTGTCAACTTCAAAAATGAGCCAATCAACTTTCATTTATTTCCGATAACAAATTATTTGTAATGATAATGAGGTTAAATACAAATACATTGAACATTCTTGTAACAATAATTACAGCGATGTATACGCTAAATTGTCAACAAAACAACATATGCACACCTATTGGCCTTTGTAAAGCCCGTAGCCTAGTTATCAACGCGACAAATAACAAAGACAGCACAATATCAGTTGCCTGCCTACTTCATGGCAAAATATGACTTCACGGACGTAATGTAAGAGTAAACTAGAGAGCACATGTAATAAAACAAGTGAAAAAGGACAAGAATAGAAAGAGAACAAACGACGCAGCTGATCGGTAACTGGGTCAAACAGGCTTCCACAGCGCGCAGTCCCCATAACGCACCTATATAAAATCCCACTGACAGGTGGGCTCAATAGCCCAAAACTAGCTCAACTTCAAATACCTGACTTTAAGAACACCGTAATAAGAAGATATGCACGACAGTTTTCAGACCTACAGAAAACACAATTAGGAAGAAAATATCGAACAACAAAGTTCAAAAGGGGAAGTGCGCTGATTTATAGTCAATATAGTCTTGGAATTCCCGACCGTATGCTACGCATACCTGAACATAAGATGGCTATCAACAACCTAGTGAAAAGATAACGATAAATCGCACGACTGATCTAATGGTAAGTCACCAACATCGTTCCACCAAGTATTTTGAATGTTCTTAGCTTGCTTTCATCGTCAATTCATTTATGTCCCTTCGAATGCATTACAACACATACGGCCAAAAATTTAGTGAACTTAATTAATTTTGTGTTTCATTTTACGCTCAACAACAATAATCAATTTCATTCAACACCCATTTCGGTAGAGAAGTTTTAACTACGAACCTGCATTAAAGCCTCAGCATCGTCTTGGGTGAAATGGGCTAACAGGGGCGTTTTCACCACCTAAAATGCTTATATATGAGGAATCGACACAATTTTTATGCAAATCAAAGACTAATATTTTTATGCGAGTCAAAGACTAATAATTTACTAATAATTCTTCATACGAAGAACAAGGCGAAATCAACTAACCGCTTCGTAAAGTACAGGCAAGTCGTCTCTCAGTGCTTCTCTAGCAGCAATCATACTAAACTCCCAACGACCTCTTCCGTCTTGCCTGAAGTTTTCTTTACACTATAACTGAGCCGTTAAATAGAAAGGTTAAGCATAAACTTGTAGGTATTTGAATACCTGAAAAATTCTGGGCGAATTCGCCTCATTTTGGCAGCAGGCCATAGTTGTACATTGAAGACACTGAGCGGATGTTCGTTACAGGATTCCTCATCGGTTCTTAAAATAACATTGTAGAAAAATAATTTGCAAATATCGCAGATTTGTAATATACCTAGGGACTATTTTGTTTCCATCGAAAATATATAGTAACATTCAGACTATTCAGAAACGCGAACACAAACATCTTTTACACAAAGCTGTCGTGAAATAAACAAAGCTTCGACTTTGAACGAGATACGAAACGCACAAGTGCTGGCTCGCTATCGTGTGGGATAAGGAGCCCAGTGTACGAAAGCGAAAGCACGGATTGGCATCCTGTCAGAAGCTAAATTTTGAGTATCTATCCAGAGAAGAAATCGAGTTTTGGGGTGTTTTATGGAGATTGTCATGCTTTCACAGAGCAGTGAGCTTCGCTTCTTTTATGAATTTTGAACAACGCTTCCATCGATTGCACATAGACTTGAGTACAAGCAATATATGAGATTACTAATGCGTCGAGTATAACGTATAAAACGCATAAGTGTAATCCGTGAGTCTTTGTGAAGACAGCAAGTTTCCAAAGTCAATAACATACGCATTGGCCGTTGCAACGAAAGGATGATAACACGATGAGGGCGGTGAGTTCTTATCGGCAGAGGATGTTTAGTGTTTCATTCCACTATTGAACGAACCTCTGCGAGTCCCTTTTTGGTGGGTGGTTAGCTGCGTGGGTTAGGTAAGTAAATAGGTAGGTTTGCTGGCGGAATAATATATTGCCTTCATAGTTTAATACGAGTATAATAGTTTATACACATCGATCTTGAAGAATTGGCCCCAACTTATTAAGCAGCTTTGGGAATAACATGGAATAGTGACTTCCTTCCGAGCTCAAGGTGAAGGGAATCACTTGCTCACTGCCTGCTCCCTTCGCATCTACTTCGTTTTTATGGCTACGGTTTTCCTACCTCTCAATAATTGCCGTGTACGGACCTACATCAAGGACAACAACAGATCATTTAGACCCAACTTGAGTTGGAGCCTGACAGCAACTCGTTACTACCGCTGGATACTGAAACTATGTCGGCTAAACGTGCCAGAATCTTCTATGAAATGCATTTACATTAGAGATGAAAAATCCTCTTGAAACTAACCAAGCTACCTTACACGCCCCGGAAGCAATGATAAGTAGAAATCGCAGTCGCAGTATTCAACAAAAAAAACTGCATCAAAAGCATCACAACAAAAAAAAACTGCATCAAAAGCCTCACAACACAAATTCGGAAAACTCACTCTGTTTGCCACTGAATTGAGCCCGATGCTTTGCGCGGACCTGAAATAATAACAAAATGTAAATCAATCCGAATTAAAATGACAACTCAAATGTTCGCAGAAGATGCAACTTTGGAAATACTACCAAAGTTGGACCTCGAACTTCTGAGCAGACTCCTCGCGCTCTGATAAAAAAAGCATTATAAAAGCAATCTGTTTCTAGTACTTACCTTCTCGAGGGACTAAATATCTTGTGTGGATTTTTACTTCTTCTCTGCATTCTGATATATCTTCAGACGGTGCGGCCACATGAGCTAAAAAAAGGTTAGGGCTAGCAGTTACACACGCTATTACACACTCATATTGAATGTTGTTCGTACCTTTCACCGATGTTAGCTTTTTCGTGGCTTCGCACACCTCTTTACAGTAGATGTTTTCAATTTCACGGATTGCTAATGTAGAATCCACAAAGACGACCTCAAGATATAAATGACATTAAGACACTGTGATAGCCTAAACATTAAACACTTACTCCTTTTGGGATGCCCATTCCCTTTTCGATGAAACCACACCTATGCAGCTCACCATAGAGGGTACGAAAATCAAAAAACATTCCATTGTGTGCGACTAAATATCGTGCTTTAAGTGTATTGAAACTCATGAAGAGAATTGGACCTACTCAAACAAACAGGTTTTGCACAGTCGTCCAAAAACTTCCTGATCGATGGCCATTCCTCGGCAAAACTTCTTTTTAACTCAAGATCATGACGAGCACGACGCACCACTGAACTCGAAATCGGTCGAAACACACGTCACAACAACTCATTCAGAATGAGATAGTTTAAATGTCTGATTACCCGAACTATCGCTAGCTTTAGCAGTTTTACATTTTTGCCACTGCTCCTCAGACAGTTCTGGATTGACTTGACACGTAAAGAAGTTCGCTGAGAGCCGTAGAACAAATGACTGCTCAGGTGCCTTGAAAAAACTTTTGCTAACGAATTTATGGTATGTGAAGAAGTTTGAAGCGCCACAGATTTGAGCAAGCAAGTCGCTAAACGACCTCAGAAAATTAATCAAGTTTCAAATGACCATCATTCAAAAGAAAAGAATGAAAACTATCACCTCTTGAATTAGACTTTGGATAGTCTTTTGACCTCGCACAAATACGTCACGTGGGACACTTAAGAACGACATCTCCGTGATACGTGGAAAATCGGATGGTTCGGCTGAAATAAGGTAGCGATTTCCATATTTTCAAAACTATTCACAACACATGCCCATTCAAAACTGGTTGGAAAGTTCATTTCACTCCTAAGAACTGAGAAATCGAGGTCATGATTAAGATACTATAGCTACATTTTTGCTCGAGTCNTCATCTTCGCTCATGGATTTGAAGGAGGAATCCATTTTCCGACGAAAAAACTCGAGACACGGAAGCATCAAGTTCACCATCAAACAACTGTACACAGCCATTTTGTGGTGACTTTGATGCTTCCGATTTAACTAGGATTGACTACAGACCCACTACACACCTGAAACCAATTTTTTCCGCTGCATATTTTGCGAACAAAATTGTTTGAGCAGGGCTTACTTAAAGTACTTCGGAAAATGTGATGGTATTCTCTCCAGAACTCAATATTCCTGCTTCCACCAGACATTATCGCACATAAAGCGAAGTATCACATATGTGTACAGCTACAGAGCATAGTTTCAATGATGAGATACAAGTGAACACATATTTCCAACCATTTAGAGCGGAATAACGAGATCATAAATTTAGAAGATAACTTGGGTAAAAGTAACTTTCTCACTCAAGAACGGATATATAGCGAACGCTCCTCCATTACTACCCCTGAGCAAACCCTCGCGCACGTGGGTGTGTGTTTTGTAAAGCCTCTATATGAAAAATTATATGGTGTTATAAATTTAAACGAACTCATTCAAGTAGCCCCATCGGTTAGCAAGACCTATCAAACCAATACCAGATATCCATTCAACAGATATTAATATCTCCAGACACAAATGATATGAAAGGACCCACTTTGTATAATAAACCTCTTCAATGTATTCGTACATTGCACGGGTTCGTTCAGCAACTGCGGAGATATTCGCCGCTGCGCCTCACTGTAGCCTGGATATATATGTGTGCTAGCTAGATCCATGAAGACTAGGGTGCGAATAGGTTCGGCGCAGACTAATCTGGAAATAAAATTACGAAGTTAATGGGTGACTAAAAATTGGACTTAGAACTCACTTTTGCCTTGGAACAGTGTGAACAGGCAACCTGTGCTGCTTTGTAGCCATCTTCGCCTCTTCTTCGGCAAGTGAATAAGCTTGAGCTCTGATGCGACGCTTTCTTGTTTTACCCTTCAATTGCACGAACATCAAAAGGCAATACGAAAACCATGAAGAAAAGGGATTACAAACATCAGTTTTATTAAGCTAGCTAAGTTATACCGTTAATCGAGGACGAGGTGGAGTAGGATTTAATCCCCTCTGCTGGTTTCGCTGCAAGGTTCGACGAAGGTTCTCCCGAGCATTTCCATAAGGGGATGCAATCTGTTCCACCATCTTTCGCCTTTCCCCCATCGGGAAGGCATCTAAAATGGTCTTTGATGAATGGACAAAAAAGCAATTCGATTTAACACGAAAGAATAACGTTTAATTGCTCATTACACAAATGAAAAATCTGTTGAACACTTATTACAACTGGCTGTCGATTCCCGGTTATTCATTAACAACGGTCTTATCGTCGAAACTAATTTCCCCTTGGACTAATGAATGAATTCCCTGAAGAGGCCTAAATTAAGCATCTACAGAGCAAGCAGCTACTAGTTGTTCTCCTCCACATTCCCTCTTTGGCTGTGAAGCAAATTACTACGGCTACAAATTAAAACATCGGTCAAACATGATAAAACTACAATGGAAAATAAAATACGGGCCAAACATAACCAATGGTTTTTCAGCCAGTCTTTTAGATGCCGCTATGAAATATTTTGCAGGTTCCAATCATGGAAACCGCTCCACCATTTAAAAATTCCGTTTATAATTGTTAACCACCCGTCGACAGTGTATTATATTCGAGGCTTTTGCTTTAGTTCATAATAATTCCTCCAGAATTGATGGACAGAGGATAGGCCGACTAGTATTCCCACCTTTTCGTTTTTTTTACAATATGCTCTAATAATCTTCCAAAACAGTAGTAATTGAGGTAAGGAAGGGTAAATGAAGTGGGGTGCCATAACTTATACACGGTCCGTGCTTCGAATTGCAGATCAATACTCGCCCTTCCATCCTTCCGAGTCAGTTAATTGCAACCATATTCGTCTGGGAGCACAAAAACACTAACTTCTATATCAACTGGCCACTGCAACTCAATGTCTAGGCCAAATACGCATTCAAACCGAAACTATGGTGAATGAATGGGAGGTGAATGCGGGGCAAATCCCGAGAACAGGATTGATTAGCGCAAAAATTCACTTCAAATTATCCTCTCAGCTTCAAAATATCCTGTATGTGCCTAAAGCGTTTTTTGCTGCACCTTACTGAGACATTTACCACTACAAATGCTTCTTGCCACCATCAAACTAGTCTATTTCTTTCCCAATGAGCACTTGTCGAGTGCGACAAGTTCTCCAAAGCGATTTTTAAACCTATATAAAAACATAAAGCCATTTCCACCCAATGAGGGTTCACAATCTACATCACTTTTGAATTTACAACTTCACAGCTATCCATCAAAGCGAAGCAAAAAAGTCTAGAAAACTCCTAAAAACCCTTTACTGGGATAGCGGCGGATTCAAAGGTGACCCAACTTTGTAATATTGTTTGTAACATGAAAACAAAAGACAAACTCGTACCGAATTTTGGCGATGTGATATCCGACAGTATCTCCTCGACTACATTCCTTGTAGGCTTTGCACATGGTCCCGCTCGTAGCTCGTTGCATCGCTCAATTATTAGACGACGTGCAGTGGCCTGTGGTGTACTCTTGGGAACACAGAAATGTGCTCGAAATGTATTCAACGGATCCGTTATGAAGAAACCATCTCGAATTTTACAGGATGGAATTGGCTGACAATAGCGTTCGCTGTCTTTGGTACGTAAGGATTTGCATGAACAGCACAAATACGTCTCCGTAACTTTGTCAGCACCGCGGCAATGGAAGAAGAACTCGTAACATAACGAGTGATCATGTGGGAAGATGTAAACGGCGATATCGTGCCCACGTTGTTGAGATGGTGCAAAAATTACTGGCACTGGCACAAAGTTGTCGACATTCGGGGGAGTCGACATACCAGGACAACTGGTCCGGACGCACGTGTGGGCCCAATGGTGAAACTGCTCTTGCAGCGACGCGGCGCGGGTCGCGCACTTTGTCATACGGGAGCGAACATTTAGCCCGGTTACGTGACTACTTGAACTTCCTCGAGGTTCCCTGACGGCGAAAGGTTAGAGCGCAGAGAAAAATACCCGGGTGAAGCCCACGGGGAGCGGATAGTGGGGGTCCGATTGGACAGACAAGCTTAGCAGTTAAAGACTCGATTTAACGGGAGTGCGGCAGACGAGAGCAGAAAACGGGAGCGGTTGGCATATTTCAAAGTACCGTTTCCAATTAGTCCATAGACCGTTTTGCCCTATGTATCCCTCTGATAAATCAAAGGCAGAATATAGCGATTCCGTGGTGTGAGATAAGGGAGGCTGCTCAATAGAGTGAACAGTCATAACGGTTTAGAATTCGCACTCGCGATCACATGCAGTCGCAGTTGTCCGGCTTGATTTAGAGGACATCCGTCCCTATTCATGAGTGGGCAGCCGCTTCACAACTCGCACTTGAACACCACAACCTTCTAGGCCCGCATTTTGATTTTTTGAACTACTCCCCGAGCTCCCCGTTAGGTGAATATTTACTTTCGAAAGTTTCCTTTTCAACGAATAATTTTCGATAGAGCAAAGAGAACAGAACATGGTGATTGAGGCCAGACAAAACCGTAAGCAGCGCTGGAGGTGGCAGTCTAGAAGCTTAGGGTACCACTCCCTGAAAACGATGCTTTAGGCCTTATGCTGTCAGTTCCAGTACCTGCGAGAGAAGAGGGTCACTTACTCGTTTTCAGAGTTTTGTAGGATATCATTAATGAATCAATACCGAGAAGCATTAAACTTGCCTTACTGTTTTTGGGTAAGGGGTTAACCCACTCAACGTTTTCTTTCCTGTGATGTAGTGGCAAGTAGCGCACTTTTTGAAGTGCACAGAAACAGCTAGAATAGCTCAAATCCACGAACGTTTGAAAATCTCGCGTAATTCCCGCCAGACTCCCTCACCTTGGGCGGGAAACCGCAATATATGTACACATAATATCATGGGTCGATCAAACAACCTTCTTTAGATCTCCATTGTTCAGACGTGGCAGACGAACCATCGATTACTGGTCCTCTCACCTGCTTCTCGTCTGTGGTAATGTTATTCTGTGTGAATAAACCCATCTGACAGTTCGTCTACTCGCACACACCGCAGGAATGTGTCTTGCAGCTCTGAGAAATCTCGTGAACACTGTCTAGTTTCAATTGTGCTCCGAGGATACCGAACCCTATAGCGATGGCGGCTCAAGAGTAACTTTTTTCGACTTTTTTCAAAATAAAGAGACACAAAACATGTTGAATAAACTTGCTTCTCTTGAGCATAAAATTAGTGTCGATGAACATGCCGACGTTTGCATGACTACTCTCTATAGCATCCTTGTTAAATTTAAGCCAGATACAAATATTGTTGACGAAAAGGCCTGCGGGATCACATGGGTTGGCATAGGCGAGCAAGCCTCCGAAACGGCCACCCGCGCAGTCGACAAAGAGGCGATCAAGGACGATCCTGTATCTTCAGGAGACACAAGCTGATCCGCGAATTCAACTCCTTGTATAACTCTTTGCAGACATCCCAAGAACAAACCTAGTGAAAGTAGCCGTAAGCCTCGCATTACAAGAATTACTTTAGGTAACCAATGTGTGAGAGACAGGCTATTTGGGCATGTTTGAGCTGGAATACTAACCCTAACCGCAGATTTTGTCCATTCATATGCAAGAACGGATTACACTAGAAAAGAATGAGAATATGATTGGTCTTTGCGCAAGAAAGCAGGAAAGTTAACCAGGAAGAAGGTAAGCTCGCATGTGTTGTGCGTGATCTCTTCATCCATAGACTAAAAAATCCTCGTGACCTTTCTAACAAGGATCGAGGTAGCAACCCTTCGCTGACTTTGCATGACCCACAAACCCGACACCGTTCGCTTTTGCTGCAAATTCCCGGGCGGCTACCCGCTAGGAAATTGGGCCCTCCAATAGGTGCATAAATAATCCTGCCTTTGGCGAAACCCCTCGTGCTAATTAAGGCGGAACAATGGCGAGCGCGGTGGTTTGTCCTACTTGTTCCTCGCTCCATCGTTAACGAAATTGCTGATCCAAATTTTCTTCTACAAGAAAAACCAAGTGCAGTTTTCATGCATGACTGAAATTTGATGCAGACCGAATTCAATCCGTGATGCCGTTCTTAGCGGCGACTCTTGCATGGTCTACCGGTGCGACAGAGAGGACTGTAGGCCTGGTGGTGGCGTACTCGCAATCATCCGTAAAGATCTCCCCCTTAATTTCTCTTTCAAAAAAAACTTTTCTGAACTCATACAAGTGTTGATTTTCGAGCCCAAAGCGGTGTCGTCAAAATTGCTTCCCTCCTCGCATACCGTAGTCCGTTCTGCACCTCGGCCATTTTTGCTGGATTGCCTCCTTTCTACATGGCCTTTTCAACGAGTGGGATGGTCACATTCACCTCATGGGGGATTTCATTTTCTTCTCAATGGACGTAGAAAATATGACGCACAGACGTAATATATCGTCGCTATCTCGTCGAGCCGGGAATCAATGGGAGCTTAGATGTCCTTCCTTTCTTTAACACATCTGATCATGAATGTGTTCGTTTCAACCTTCCTTGCGTTCCGCTCGTTTTGGTTAAACCAACCGAATTTTACAAATGCTCCCAGAAGTGATTACCATGCTCTTGCCTAGATCGACTGGATTAAGTTGAACAATACGTCCGCTGATTCAGATTCCTTTTATACCAAATTCCTAAATAAAAACGGAGGAAGCAAAGAGGAGAAGATAGTGATCTTCAGAGGACTTGGGAGACTTAGGATGGACGACGAAGTCTTTTTCTACGTGGATGTCATCTTGTATCCACGGCTTCAATTTAGCGACATTGTATGGTGTTGCGTATGCTATCATATACATTCCGTAAGGCAAACCTACGGCCGAAGCCACGGAAGTGTGGGTTTTTCGGAGACGAAATAACGAACCGTTCCAGAACATTCTATTGACAGGGATGGACTTAAAGGGACCACAAGAGATAATCACAAATTTATTATTTATTTATCAAAAGATATGTGAAACACATGTGAACGTAGTGTAAACACAAAGAACCAAACCAT